CAAAAAATGGCGACGGACATTATATTTTGAAATGGACATTAGTTTTCTTTATTCAGGCAGAATAAATTAGTTGATCAAGGTTTAATTGAGCAATAGACAAGAAAGAAATCGATAGAGATATAAAGAGAACAATCAATCGTTTATAATACAAGCCAAAGACAAAATTTCTATTGAGTCTCTCACAAATACATTCTTCGAACTTGAAAATATCATAAAAAATGCCGTTGCCAATAGAGAAAATTCTTCAATGTAAACAACACTTTTGTAATGATGAACTGCCAAAAATCCAGTTCTGTCTAGTCCGGTTCGATCGAACCAGTTCCAATTCTGATTCAATCAACAGATACTCACACTGGCTCCATTTATTGATCAGACAGATTCAATTTCAATTTTTTTCATAATTATAATCCGAACAAACAATTATTTTGATAGAAAAATATCCTTCTAAAACGCTTTTGAGCAAAATAAAATGTTCACTGTTATCCACAAACTCAATGTCGCTAGAACATGCAAAAACTAGTTAGTCAGTTGTCCAAATCCCAAAATAAAATGCATCTGACCTGTCAAAGACATTTTTGACTGAACTAAATCAATATTAAGACAGTCCGAAAGACCTTTGATCTGGTTTTAAAGAAAGCGGCACAAAAGCGACTATCGCCTCTTTTATTAATATGAATGTAGTGCAGTCACAAAATATGTTCGCAATGACAGATAGATCTCATTTTCTACAGAATTAGTTACTTCATAACTCTGTGCAATGAAAAAGAAAGTTTCATTTTTGAATTTTTAAGTTCTGACAAACTATGTTTTGCATTTTCCAAAGATTTTTCACAATTGTAAGTACAGTAAGAATTTTATTTTCGTTAAATCCTTGTTGAAAGTAAAATTTCTTATCAAAATCACTATTTCAATACTTCATGTAAGATTAATATATTATAATTAAACTCGAATTATTTCTGTTTTTCTTAAAATGCTATTGAAGTATACTGGAAATACTTTAAAACAATTTATGTATAATCATTTAATATAGGAACTATTCAGAACATATTTTTATTCATCAATGTTTACAATATGCATCAATTGTCAATAAGGTTATCATTAGTCTTTTAACTTGGAACTTTACTAAAAAAAATAGTTTTATTCATTTGATTTTGTTTAGAAAGGCAAAGTTGGATGTATGAAATAGAAAATTTGGGTGTGGGTGGGTGTGGGGTGTGTGGGTGCGTGTGGGCGTGTGGGTGTGGGTGTGGGTGTGCACTCTAAAAAAAATAGGTTCTTTACTGAACCCCCAAAAAAGGTTCTGGAGATTTCGAAAAGCATACAAATGTGTCAAAAGTCGCAAAAAAAGGATAAAAAAATCTACGAAACCTTTAAAGATTCTTTCGGTGTACCCAGAATAAGAACCTTTTCCCGCGAAACCTTTTTTTAAGTTCCGTAGAGCAAAAAAGGTTTCGTAGGAAAATACGAAACCTTTAAAGTTTCGTATTAAATTCTACGAAATCATGAGGGTTCAGTGCGAAACTATTAGATTTTAATATGAAACTCTAAAGGTTTCGTATTTTCCTACGAAACCTTTTTTTGCTCTACGGAACTTAAAAAAAGGTTTCACGGGAAAAGGTTCTTATTCTGGGTACACCGAAAGAACCTTTAAAGGTTTCGTAGATTTTTTTATCCTTTTTTGCGACTTTTGACACATTTGGATGCTTTTCGAAATCTCCAGAACCTTTTTTGGGGGTTCAGTAAAGAACCGATTTTTTTTAGAGTGTGGGTGTGGGTGTGGGAATGGGTGGGTGGGGTGTGGGTCAAAATATGTCATTCACACACACCCACACCCTAACAATTAAAATGAAGCTTTTCTTCGAAATTATTACTTTAAAAATGGCAAAATAATAGCAGAATATGTATTAACGAAAGATTCTATTATTCTGCTAAAAACACCAATAACACAGCACTCTCGGTAAACACTCGTTGTCGGTCGAGCACGTGCATATGCACAATATTTGCTCTCAACTTCATGTATTTCTTTTTCTTTTCTCCACGACCGTCAATGAAAAAGGTAGATGTGACTCTTTGTTGTTTTTCTTGTGCGCAAACATCACTTCAAGAGTGTGGGTGTGAGTGTGGGTGGGTGTTGGTGTGAGTGTGGGTGAGTGTGGGTGGGTGTAGGTGTTAATTTTCTCTTTGTTCATACTCGCACCAACACCCACCCACACCCACACCCACACTCACACTCACACCCACACGCCATACCCACCCACCCACACCCACAACCACCACACAGCCCACCCACAACCACCACACAGCCCACCCACAACCACAACCACCCCACTCACACCCACAACCACCACACACCCAACCCACACCCCACACACTCACAGCCAATCACACCCAAATCCACACACCCACACCCTCCCATAATGTCAGCACTTCGTTTACAGTTAATTTAACAGTAAACTGAAGTTAGCGTATGTGAACGATTATATTATTAAATTGCAAAACAGAATGACAGGTGGTAGGTTAGCTTTTATCAACAGTGAACTGATCATAATGACGAATTTCGGGATACAATCTGAAGCAAAATGAATATTGTGATAAAATAACTAAGATAATAAAATAGTAGCTTTTGAAAAGTATCGATTTTATCGGAATATCACGATCAGGCATGTAAATTTGGTGCGAAGTTTGAAGTACTCATTCAGTAACATACAACTAAAAAGAAATCTCTTTCAATTATCGCTTGAAATATTGAACAGCTACTATTGAAATGAACTAGAGCTTTATCATTCACGTAATTCATCTTATGAGAGAACCACCGGAATTTGAAGTCATATTGAGTTTACAAGAATGCATTAGTGAGATTAGCAGAAGTCTAAAAAGATTCGCTCCCAAGAGCTTCTGAAGTCGAAATGTATTCGAGTTACTGAATTTTCAACCTGTTTTTGAATACTTACCGACGAATCAAATGATGGAATTTCGATCTGATATTTTGCACATAGATAAGTCAAATGGTCCTGAAAAGTTCAATCAAGAAGAATTTATTTATCGCGATATTGAATTTTCCAGTCACTCAATGTTTTAGCGATTGATTATATCGTTTAAAGAGCAGTCTATTCGACTACAAGTTTCAAGATATTCTATTCATAGAGACGAACCCTTTGAAGGCTTTTCTAATCTTACTAAGACCCCTTTGTCAGCGCAATGTGAACTCAAACGGTGAGTATGAGTTCGAATGATTCTCTTGTAAAAAAATCATGATGCCGATAGCTGAACAGGATATCCAAGTGAATTCCATTCGTTCCATTCATTTTTTTTGTATGATATCTTATTATATATCACGTCAATCATTACTACCGAAGAAAAAGAGAAATTCTTTTTATAATATGCTTCTGATGGGTAGGATGAGATTTTCTTGTTCCTAGAAGATGAGGTTGAAATCTTTTTCTTTTGAAAACCTTGACAAAAGCATCGCTTATTTTCATTCTTTTTGGACTTCCTATTATAAAACGAAAGATTTAAACTTGCTTCTTTATCATACATGCATACAACTGATCTTCCTGAGAAGCTATTCACTTCTTTATTTTAACAAAAATCTGTGCAACACTTCGATTGAACTTCCAAGTAATCCTGTATTAATATCGTTTAAGCAAGAAAATTTTTTATCATCCGGAATAAATAACGACTTCACTCTGTCTCGTGTGATATCCATTAAATAACTAAGTCGAAGTAAGGTTCTTTATTATTACTGACATACAACGTCAAGAAATAAAATGTTAAACATATTACAACATAATAAACACAACCCTCTAGCAATAACATATATCTGACACAAAAAACAACCAATCAGACAACAAAATTATTATATCATACCACTAAAAGAAAAACGAACATAACAATAATGCACACACTGTTTAAAAAAAAGAACATCAAACGTCTATTCTAATTACATAAAAAATATATACAAAAAAAAAAAAAAAACTTTTTTTTTATCAAATATTTAGCGACCATTTAAAGTGGTGATTCATTATTAAGAAAAAGAATTTTCTTCAATGTTTGTGAGCGATAACTACGTGATTTTTGACGTCGTTTAGAAAATGAATCCATAACAGTTTGAGCAACATTTGCAAAGGCAGATGATGATGATGTAGATATTGGTTGAATAGATGTTGACGTATATGATGTTATAGGTACAGGTTCATCTAAACGTTGAGATGGTATATATTGATGTGGTAAATAACGACGATGATAACTTGATGTTTGATTTTGATTATATGTTGTTGGTGATTTCATTTCACGAAAAAGAACTTCTGCACAACGATATAAAAAGAATAAATCACCCTAAAATAATGAAAAAAAAAATTATTTAATTAGAATTTTTAATTTCTACTTTCTTACATTATGTCGCCATATACCAGGACGTTTGATATGATAAAGTTTAGCTAATTCATAGATGTTTAATGTACTTTCAACTTCCATTTGTTCATTCATTGTATATAAAGCACAAAAAGTAGCTGAAAAAAAAACAAATTATTATATATGAATATTGTTAGTAAAAAGACAAACAAACCAGCTCGATGACCACCAAAAAGATCGTGAACAACAATTGGACCATTTGATTTAACATTCATACGTAATTTTCTTATTGTATTTATAAGATTAAATGATGCTTTAAGAGGTGAACATGCATCTGGCCAATAAGTACTTGAAACAATTTTGACTCGTAATTCATAATCCTCCTTTGGAGAGAAAAAAAATAACAAAAGAATGTAAATTAATACTATTATCTTTTCTTTACTTCGGTTGATTGAAGTAAAAAATCTCGATAAATATATTCACATTCAAAACGTTCATCAATCAAACATACACTAAAACTTCCACAATCCATTATTTGATTTGGTAATGGCCAAAAATCAGGTACATCAGGCTAAAAAAAGGAAATAGTAAGGTGTTTCTTTATAATTGAAAAAAAATTTATACTTGAGATTTTTCATCAGCATATAATGAAACAATGATACTTGTATTTGTATTCCAAATCATTTGCCAAAAATCAGTTATAGTATTCATCATAGGATGTTGAGTAATTATAAATTCATCAACACGATGACAACCCTAAAGAAATTTTTATAGAAATCTTAGTGAAAACAGGCAATAATTAAAGACAAGCAAAATCAATTTCATTATTTTATTTATTCCGCCAATATAAGTTATACTCTTTAGTCTTCACTACTTAGTGTCATTTAAATTTCTCTCATTTATGATATCATTAGTTCAAACTACTAGAACCTTTTATTCTAACTCTAATCATTGTCTCGTAGATCAAGATTCATATCAAAATTTCAATACCAGTCAGAATAAAACAAAGAAATTTTCATTCGAAGTGTCTCTTCTTGAGATACGCTTGTAGAATTCATAATGTCTATTTTCTCATTTTTTTTTTCACTATTATAAATACAATTTTTTCAAAACTTACATGCATATATGATGCATTAATATATTCTCCGCCAGCTGGTTTTCTGTCAGTCGAAAGTATAATTCGACATGGATTATAAGGTAAAATTGCTTGTGTACGATTTTTTGATAAATTTTCTTCCATTTGTCCAAATGATAATTGATAATCATTAATTTTATTTTGTAATGTTACTAATTGAAATTGTTTATCTAAACGTGTTAAATTTGAATCTTTATCAAAATAATCTAACATTTGTATAATATAATCAAAATTATTTTCATTTAATTCTAAATCATTATAACCAATATTTAATAATTGAATTGCTTCAAGTAAAACATCATATATAAATATAAATTGTTCTTCAGTTTGAACAAGAAAATTTCGTTGTTGACGAATATGTTTTAAAAATGATGGAATATTTAATGAATGTTGTTCACGAATTTTTTTTAACATTGTATCAACAACAATATATGTACCTGTACGACCAACACCAGCTGAACAATGAACAACAATTGGTCCACCTGTATCAGGATTACAAGCTGATGAATGACGAATAAATGAAAGAACCGGTAATGTAAATAATGGTACACCATGATCAGGCCAATCAGTATAATGAAATTGATGAACAAGACGTTCATAGCCGATACGCTATATAAAATTGAAATATGAAAAAAAATTAAAGTTCAAATAGAGATAGAATAGATTTAAATACAAAAGTTAACTGCCTACCAACTCGGTGTAGTTAAGGCACACTAGAGCTCTTCGGGTTCAAAATTTTCGAATCTGGTGAAATTGTATTTTGATACTGTCAATGCAGTTTCCTAGGAAGAATTCTATAGGTACTCCGAAGGTAACAAATACTTTTTTTTTCAAATATTCTATTCAGTGATTCACTGCTCAGTATTTATATCAATATTGCAGATCTCTATTGTTATCTTTCTCATCAATAAATTAAACTATTACCTTTCTATTAGTTTTACATCGAATAGCAAATATTCTTTTAACATAATAAGCAAAAGATATTGTTGTAATTAATGACACTTGAATAGTACCATAAGTTTCAGTACCTTCTTGTGGCCAATATAAATCACATTTTACCTAAAAAAAATGACAATATTTCATAAATATATTCAATAAAAATACCACTTACTCTTCCACGTTCTTTTATATTAGTAATCATTACTAATACACTAATATCTTTTTCCCATATCATTCTCCTATTATTAAATAAAAAAATATCATATTTCAATCTATATTTAAAATATAAAACATTATATTTACCAAAAATCATTGATTGTATTTGGCATGGGTCCTTGCGTTGCAATATATGCATTAGCTTTATGGTGACCCTACAAAAGAAAACATAGAAACAATTTGAAAAAACAAATTTTTATGAATATCTATAGATATTTACATCTACATAATTAGCATTAATATAATTGCCTCGACCATCTCTATCATCACTTGATAATTTTACACGTGAATGATCATCTAAATAAAAGATAATTATTTTTTTTTCGTATTCAATTGATTATTTTCTTTTAAATATACATGTTAAAATATTTGTATAACGATTTTTTGATTTATTATATTCAAGTTGTGAAACGTCAGCAGGAAATGTATAAGTTTTTGATACTTCACAAATATCCTATACAAAAATTCGAATTCAATATTAAAATTTTATTTTAATCTATCAGATAATACGAACTTCAAATAATCGAACAAAACCAAAATCTCCATCTTTATGCATTCGTGCTACATACGCAGAAAATTGATTGATTGGTATTGATGTTGAATCAAAGTCTTCTATAAAATAAAATCATACCGTCAACATATAATTAGAGAGTCTTTTCTTTTAAAAAAAAGCGAACTTCGACAAAGTAATGAGATACTAATAAAACTTGGCATAGACATAGTTAAACGTGGAAACGATTAGTTAGAAAACTTCTTTGCATTCAACTGAAGGATATACGTTTATCTATTGATATAAAAAAGTAGCACAATTCTCTAGAATGAAGTATATTGAGAAAAGCCCAGAAGAATTTTTTCGATTATAAAATTATTCTTCTTTGCTAAAACACTCAGGAATTTTTATTATGCAAACGTTTCGAAAGTTTCATTTAGTCGAAAAAAGAAAAGCCAAGAATTCTTTCAGTTCAGTAACATTCATCATTTAAATATAAGACCGAATGCACTATCAATTCTAATATATGCTATGTATATTAGATTGTCTTCGCACAGGGTTCATGATGATCGATGATGCTGTCTGTCATCATCTTTCTATTTACTATACTATTCAACAACTTGATAAAGGCAGAAGAGTAACAAATTAGGTTTTTTAATTCGCTTGTTACCTTACAACTCTTTTTCTACTGATAATGATCGTTAATTTTTACTAATAACTCACTGTATTTTTTTCAACTTAAACCGAGTTACTTGAAGTGGCATCTGGTTCCTTTTAACTTACTATAGTTTCCATCAAAATAATTGATAGTATTTCCATTACTAATATTTCCATCAATAGAACCATTTGTTTGTACAAGATTTGATCTTGGATGATGTTTTTTACGAATTAAATATACATAATGAAGTATCATTCGACGACAGTCCGGCATGAATCCCCTATTATTTTTTTAATTTTTATAGTAAAATAAAATCAAACATTATTTATATCATTTTTTTTTCTATACTTACTTTCGATATGCAATAAGAAAAGCTAATGTAATAAGACTTAGAATTGATAAAACAAGACCAACAATAATTCCACCTAATATTCGATTTTCACGTTTAACATTTGTTCCAGAAATAAGTGCTAGAGAAAAGTAAATAAATATATAAACGTATAAAATTTTAAAAAAAAATAATATCAAACCTATTCGTGTAATTGGACACAAAATAGAAATATTTATTTTTTCATTTGAATTACTACCAGTAAGATTATTTTCCACAATAACAGAATAATTATCTTTTACATCAATGACATTTGCACTAACATACTAAGAAAAAAAAAACAAAAAAAAAATTGAAAATTTTCCGAAATATTTTCATGTTTTAGCTAAAGTAGAAAAAAAATTTAGATTAATTAAATCATTTTTTTTAAATATCACAGTCGTTTGTTTGTTCATTTTGTCATGTCAATAGTCATCGGAGAAATACGCATAAAAGCACGTATAGAAGATTTATATTGTGATAGTGATGTTCACTTTGTCGATTAGACACAAATCAATAAAGATTTTGTTTAGTCGTTAGTCATGATAGAATCTATCCGTTTTATACGTGCACAAATGTTCGTATTCGAATTTTAACTGATATTAGAAGCTTGAATGGAAAATCATGCACCGTTTCGGATTGAATATTGATTGAGTATGAATATTCGACTCAATATGGCGGGTCATTTTTGACTCGTTCATAAAAGTTAGAAAACCATAACTTTTTAAAACAAAGTATAGCCCATCGGGTCTAAAAATTTCTTAGCGCCACAGATGTAAAAATAACATTTTTCCTTACGTCTTTTTTGATCCATCCGGAGTGAAAGCTTTTTATTAGAACTCACAATCAATCAAAAAAAATTCAAGGGACATTTAAAAAAAATTTCTTATCGATAAAAAATAGCAACTTGAAACTTCTGTTATATGAGACCTTAATAATATGAATCGGAAGACGACTAATGATATCATATTACAACAAGAAAATGAAGATAAACGAGTCTGACATGATTCCGGAAATGAAAGATCTAATTTCAACTTGAAAATAGTCGCCCTTGCAAGTGTCTAATTATATATCCTTTCTTGAAATGATCCATAATGAATAGATTTCCAGATTTATACGGATCAAATAACAATATCACTACGAAAAACATAACCAAATCAACAATTTCTATGTCATTCAAGACGAATGGATCATTTATAATTCATTCGACATATTCACAGTAACATAAATTAAAATTTAACTGATAATGACTTATGAATAGATTTATCTTCTTCTTCTTCCCTTATTTCATTAAAGGAAATACCTATAAATATAAAACACTTAAAAACAATTTTAATAACTAAATTCTACTCTGAAATATATAATTGTATGACGTCCATCATTTTCCTTTTTTATCAACACAAGCACGTAGGCTGTTCTAAAATCAGAGTATCTAATTATAAGTTCTTTACAATGAGCTAATAATAACAGTTGCTAGACCTTGTCAAAAGAACTAATGTAGAAATGTCGCATCTTCTGTTCGACTAAGGTCTCTCCCTTCAAAAAAAAACACTTACCGATTCAAATGAAGGAAAGAATCTTTTAATTTCAGACAATATTTTCTAGAAAAACTATGATTACTTTGACATTGAGAGTTGAATAAAAAAAAAAGAAACTACAGTTCACTAGAACGAACACTATTGAAAAGAAATTTATGCAGAATACGATAATTTATACAAAAACCAATGTCGAGGAAAAATGTACGAACACTTTTTTTTTTGTATATTTATATTCTGACATGGAGCATCAAATATGGTTATATACGTACCAATCAAAAACTCATTTAGAATCTTATCAAGTGGCCTTCTAGCTAAATGTAAGGGCTCTAATTATAATAGCGCTTATAATTTTTCCTATGAAAATGATATTAACCTTATCACTAAAGAGTTCTAGCAACTTATCATTATTATGGAAGAAATGTTTTCAAATTTAATGTCATTCTTATGCATTTTTGAACTAGACAACTTATGGATTATGCCTATATGTTTATATTAACAAGTGTCTTCTTCTTTTTTTTTTTTTTATAGAAAAATCAATTTTTATTTGGAGGACGAAGACCATAATGGCTCGAAGATGTTTAGATTGTACATCTATTGTTTTTCTATATACAATAAGGTTATGCAAATTTCTATATATATTTAGTAAAATTTACTTTTTGAATATCATAAATATTTTTTTTAATAAAATGAGTTCGACTTGTTTTATAAAAAACATTAATTGGTTTAAGTGAATTAATTTGTTTATCATTATTATTAATTTGCATATGTATCATTAAACGATGATTATTTGTTCCAGTTGATTTAATTGAACATGTTAATGGTGAATAAATAGGATAAAAATCATCACAATATTTTATTATTGTTTCAATATATTCATATTGATTTGTTGAAAATATAAATTTTATTTTAAATGTTAAACTTTTACGTTTTAAACGATAAATAAATGAATATAAAATTTTATTTGATGAAAAATATTGTTGATTATAATGATTATCTGTATATGCAATATGATCTTGATAATCATATATTGTTATATTATATATACGATTAATAGATAATAATTGTGAATTATTAAATTCAATTAATATTAATTGATTATCAAGTCTATAACATGTAACTGATTGATCAATTAAATGACGATCAATAAATTGATAAGATTTTGGAAATTCATTTGAATTTGATGATAATGTTGTACTATTTATTGTTATACTACCACCATAACGTTTCCATATATCAACTGCTGATATATCAATTGAATAAATTGAATTTGGATATAATGATGGAAATGTATAACTTGATAATGATCCATTAACTAATGTTCGATATTGAATTGTATTATTAAATCTAATGAAAACAAAAAATGATGAATAAAATTCTTTTTCTTTTCTTTTTTGTATATTTCTTTGGTTTATCTTACTTTAAAACTAATTCATAGTAAGTTATATTTGCATTTTGATTATAACTATCATCTTCCCAATCAATAGTTATACTTGTATTAGTTACATTTCGAATAGAAGCTTGACGAATATTTAATGGACGATCTAAATACATCAAGATTATTATATTTAATATTGTTGAATGAGTGTAATTTTGTAAATGACAAAATTCCGTAACACTGACATGCTTTAATTTAAATGATAAGACAACTGTAAATCCAGGCTAGTTACTAATTCTTATTTTCATAACCTTATAATTTCATTCGTAGTAATTCATTTCGCTTTCAAAAGAAACAATTTAGATTTATACAAAATATATTATTTGATTTATACGGTACTAGAAATGTATAATTAGTGCCAAGTGAAAATTTCATATTCCAAGGGTATGTTAAAGTTATTGTCTAGAACTTTTTCGCTATTTTAAGTATATTGTCAACGTGTGTCACCAACATATTAATTTAATATCATATGTTAGTACACAATAACACAGCAAAAAAGAAAGAGCATATTCTGATCGAATTGATGTTTCAATGTTACAGTGAACATCGATGCCAATATAATCGATAAATCTGTTAACCCTATATTAATGACTCATTGTTCACTATTTACACTTATACTGTACATCCCTATACAAAGCATTATGCATAAACTATTATATTCATTTTAACTGAATATATTATTCAGGTACTTTTCTTTCAATAATGACATTTTTTGTTCGAGAGCTCGTGACCTTCCCATGTCAATCTTTATTTTTTCTCTTTGTCATTACATTAAATATTCATCAGATCGATTTATAAGTAGTACATTTTTTTTTTAACTGTTCTCGTTCGTTCATTCATACATAAGACGATACTTTACAGCCTACATGTTCAAAAGCTTTTATTTGATAATTATTGAAAGCAAAAAAGAAAAAGGAATTATAATATATTAAATGATCGAACATATTTCCTTTTATTAATTATTATATAGAATGGTTCATAAGTAGATTTGCAATTCAGAAAAAAAATTTAAATATCTCCATTTAGTTCCACTCTATGGAAGCTAATTTTTTTTTCCGTAATAGAGAACACTTCAAAATTTTCTTTTTTCATAAGAGCTTGATGACCTTACAAGACATAAAATGAATCAAAACCTTGATGAAAACGAGCACGAACAAGGATAGCCAAAGTGCTACTTATAAAAAAAAAGATAAATATCTATATCAATGACAAGAGAAAAAAAAACAACAACCATATATCTCAGAACAAAATACACGATCGAATATATTCGTTACAGAAAGGATACATGTACTAATAGATCTGTTAAGGTCATGTAAAATTAGTTTTTCTGTGGTTTTTTTTCTTCTCATACAAAGTATTGTCTTACCATATGTACGAATTTTAATTCGATATTTATCATGATTTTCATTTTCAGTTTGTGATACACTTGAGCAAATAAATTCACGATCATATGAATGTGAACCATTGATACGAAAATAACGTCCACGATCTAATTCATAATGATGATTGGCTACATCATACCATTGTATATCTGAACTATGTATAAAATCTAATGGACATCGTATTAATGCTGAATGAGTACGTGGATCAAGAAAAATGGCTTCATTTATTTCATGAATTTTTGTTGTAGTTATCAATGATAATAATAAAAATTGAAAGATAAGAAAAAAATAAACAAAAATCTGAACGTTGATCATCATTTGATAAGATTGTATTTGAAGAAGAAAAAAAATGAAACGAAAACGAAGAATATTATATTATGTAAAATCCATTCAAATCTAGCATGTTTTATTTACATCTAGGCTCATTCTAAAATAAAGAAGTATTCAATTCATAAAAGCAAAAAAAAACTAAGAAAAAATTCTATAGTATACTCTCAACGGACATACGAACGAACGAGCACACAAATAAACATATGTCGGGCAATTGACATTAGATTTTCATTGGTTTATTTTATTAGCAAAATTTTTCAAGATATAGATTATTAATGTCTATCATATAACGCCATCTGTCGATAGATTCATGCAAATTTTTTCAAATATATAATGATCACTATATTTTATTCTTATGATCACATAACAAAACTCGATTATATTTAATTCATTGTTAAACAATAAAATTAATCATCAAAATAAAGTTTATTTTATTATATTTATTGCTAATACTCTTAAATAACTTGTTTTTCTGACGTTAGTTGTTTTTGTTAGGTATATATAATACATAAATCATAATCATTGTCTTTGATTTATTGTTAAATCCCTTTTGCTTTATCTAACTATCTCATTACTAGGTCAAGTACCGCCTTATTTCTCTCGCTCTCTTAGCCTTCATATCAGTCACACATAAACATACACGTAAAATATATGATATAGATAATACTGAGGTGGAAGTAGATATGGGATTTAGTTTATTTTCTCTTAATCTTCTTAGGACGAGACTCAACATTAATGATTCTGAAGATAAACAACAAACTTCATATGTCTTCTTTATTTGATCGATATTTTTGTAGTTTGTTACAAATTATGATTTGTTGTTCACGAATAAATTCAAAAAGAAATAAACTGTAAGTTTTTGTAAATCGATTATCTTCGTATTACTTCAATTTAAGAAGTAACATTATCAAAAACAAAAAAAAGCAGAATTGTTCTTTTTTTTGATGTTGTTTTTATTTTTAATTTGAAATAATGAAAAAAATAAAATATTGTTTTCTAAATATCTCATCATATATCATAGCATTGAAAGAATAGTATATGATAGATTATTCGATCTATCATCATCTATTATTTTTGTTTAGCTGTCAACGTCAAAAATAATACTATTGTTATCAATTTATCAGTACATGTTCAATTTTAGAATTTCTAAAATTGGAATATAATTTATTTGAACATATTTTGACAAATAATAGAAACTTAAAAATTCTGTACACAATCACTAAGAATAGATTGTTCAATAAAATTTGGCAGACAGATATTAGATTTGTTCAAGAATTCATCATGTTTGAAAGCACATGTTAAAATGTGAAGAATTTAGTACGTTCAACTTTTCCTTATTGAGCAACATTTTCTAATGTTAAGATTCGATGTCTATTTTTTAAAGTTTGATGCCAATCTAAGTCTTTAGATTAGACTCAATAGTGTCTTTCATTCTATTCATGGATTGATATTGTAGGTCAATATATGTATATATAAATATGTCTATAACGCTTTTATCTATTGTCGTTGACTGCAATTCTTGCAGATAATGTTTGACGTACATAAGAAAAAAGAACCGCTTGATTTATAGTCTAAATCAGTATTTCGATATCCTTTTTTCCTTTGCTAATATTAAGAAACCTTCTATATTAAAGACTAAGATATTCTATAATACTATTGCATGTCTATACTTCGAGCATTTGACACACTTAACAGATAAACATTACTATTTAACTTCCGATTACATCTATACAATGAACTTTTCTGTTAAACATCCTACTTTTTACATCTGTGTTATATGATCTTTTTTTGTTTAGTATAATGATTATGATGATGATACACAAGTGAACATAATAGGATGCCATTAACATCTGTAAAGCGAGAGATTCTTTATATAAATGTATATCATCGGTGAACAGGACTTATTATTTGATTTGAATTAAGAAATACTTGAAACATATTGCAGTTAATTTATCTATTTAATGTTTGTTTTACTCGATTGAAAATACTAATTCTTCTTCTTTTTTTTTTGTATCCTATTGATATTTGATCTTTTAATTATAGATCAATAAAGAACAAATAACCTTTTTCAGAGTAGTTTTTTCTCGACGTTTTTTTTATTTATGATATAAATAACTAAATCGATTATTGAGTGGTTGTTTTTCGGCTCTGATTCTTTTAAATAGATATCACATATGACCTATGAAAATAAACCAAGAACATTTTGTTTTTTTTTTTTAAATAGAGATGCCAAATACGTAATAAATGTAAAATAGGTTTGAAAAGAAATACGTATATTCTATCTTTAATTCGGGTAAACATATAGGAAAATATCTAATTAAAATCTAAAGTAATTAGTATTGTTGCGGTAAAATACGCTATTATGTCGATCCAAAAAAAGAAAAAAAAAATCAGAGAAGAAAAGCACAAGACAAAAATTGTACGAAAAAAGAAAGAGAACACACTCGGTGTTCTGGTTACTAGTGCCAACAAAAAATTGCAGGTTCTTCTATATACAACATCATGTTAGCTTAATAATGTGGTCGAGAACGAGCATAGCATAAAGGCAACGGAGGAGGAGATACTAGTAGCTTTGTCGTCCATCTTGTTCGTTACTTAAAGAAGAAAGAAAATGCCAGAATACTGCATAAAAAAAAACAAACAGGAAAAGATGCTACGCTTCTTGCTCGCGCGTATTAATAATCTGTACAGGAATCTAAAAGCGAGAGAGAATAAATATATCGTTGTTACAAATACGAATCAGATTGCTATAACCAGAAATATAGAAGAATGATGACGACGGTTAACTATGCCACATGTTGACTGCAGTCTCTTTCTAGCACAAAAAAAAAAGTAAATTAAGTAGGATATCGATGATATCCAGCCAAGATTGTTTTCTTATGCATCAACCGTTCGTTTGTCTTCCTCTTTGTATTCTTTTTCTTGTTTATCTTATTGTGCTTTCACTTTAGAAGAAGAAATAGTTCTAGTTACAAGACTAAGAAATTCTCGTTTTTGTTTTCGATTTTCTAATTATTTCGCATTATTTATTTTTGCTTGAAAACGATTCACTTTATATAGTGTCATTCGATACATTAAATCGTCGTTTTTCTTTTCTTTTTTTTTCGTTTTTTATCAAGTTTGATTACCATTATCGATATCGTCTTACAACCATAAAAAAACGATGAGGTAAGTCAAAAAAAAAGGAAAAATGAATATAGAATGTTTTGTTTTTGAAACTAATTTTTATAACAATCATATGCCAATGAGTACAGGATACTCAACACCGCAGCTTGTAACAATACTGATAACTTTTCATTATTACTTGTTTGGCAGCAATGACGATAGGCAATATATATCTAGAGCAACAAAAGACTAACATAGATAGTATTCTTTTTATATACTTCCATATAACTGCATTAAGAAAATCTAATAACCTATTAACTAAATATTTCTTGGAAGTTAATGAGTGCAATTAGAAACATAATCTAACATGATGCAAAAAATAAATAAATTTCCATTAACGAATGATTTTCTGTTTAATTTTTAGTACATGTGCAAGATGTCAAAAATCATTTCCAGCTGGATCTCGTGAGTTTCTTTTCCCTAACGTATTTTCTCTATCAAATTCTCTTCTTAATTTTCATAGGTATTACTGAATTTGATGGCAAACAATATCATGTATATTTTCAAAAGAAAAAAAAAAAACGAAAATTTTTTTTTTTTTTTTTAATTATTTCTATTGTAGCCTGAGTGTTTTTCTTGTGGTGATTGTAAAAAAGCAATAACATCACAATTTTATCCATTTAATAATGAATATTTATGTTCGGCATGTCATGAAGCACGTTTTCCACGTAAACGTTGTGCTAAATGTGGTTCATTGATAACTTCGGCTGGTATAACATTTGCTGGTGCATCATACCATGCAGCTTGTTTCTTGTGTATGTATTAGTTAAAACAAAGTTAATTGATCGTAATTGAAACCATAGAAAATATTATTTTTTCTTTAATATAATAATATTTTTTTTGTCTTAAGAATAATAATAATAATAATAATAATATGTACAAAAAGATATTGTTGTTCTAGGTGTAACATGTAAACAACCAATATCGGCTCAATCGAAAATCTCAATGGTAGATGGTCAACCATGCTGTGTGAAATGTTATGAAGATAAACATGCTAAAAGATGTAGTCGTTGTCAAAAAGCAATTGTTGCTGATGTTGAATATCTTGAATTTGAAGATAAATATTGGCATAAAGAATGTTTTACATGCTCAAAATGCCAGGTAAAAAAAAGTTTTTTTTATTTTTTATTTTTTTCATTATATTTTCTAATCTAATACATTTATTCTTATAGAAATGTATTGCTGAAGAAAGTTTTTATCAAGATGGAAATTTAATTTTATGCAAAGATTGCATTTAACTAAAAAAAAGAAAAATATCACATTTTACATAAACAATAGATCGTTTTCGTTTTAATAAGCACAATGTTTAATGTGTGTTGCTTTTAAAATTCTGTTGCTAAAACTGCTTCTTCTTTCTTACTTTTTTTTCTTCTTTTCTAGTGCTACCAATTGCCTTTCTTGCTCATCCCCGGCTATATATTTCTATTTTGACAATTTTATTATGCCTTATGAGAATTTTTTTTTTTCGTCTTTAACAAAAAAAAAAAAACAAAACAATATAAAAATGAGCTAATAAGACTATGTTAATGAATAAAACAAAGAATAGAAAAAAAAAGTGTTTTTTTTTTCTTGTTTTTAATATTTGACAAATTTTAATATGAAATCAAAACTCATCCTTTTCATGATGATAGTTGATTTCTCTAGGTGATTCTTCATGTAAATAAGTTCGATAGATTTCTTCGACATTAATACCTTCAAATTTATGAAAACTAATAGATTTTTGATGTGCAAGCCAATCTTTTGAATAAGCATTTGGTTGTGCTTGATGTAATTCAGGTATATGTGTTAGTGGAATATTGATACGTTTTAAACATAAACCTAAAAACATATCATCTGGTGTATCAGATGATGGACATTCACAATTTGAAATAATTTGTTGTACAGCTTGTCGATTAAAAATCATACCGGATCCACCAGTTGGATAATCATAATAATCTCCATAACCATATCGTTCACCAAGTACAATAGGAATATCATTTGATAACATAAAACATCGAATAACACGAAGAATTCTTTGTATTGATATAAGTGTATCATCATCAACAATAATTAAATATTGAAAATTTTCTTTATTTTTATAAAAATAATGTAAAATTGAAAATGTTTTATGACAATGACCACGTTCCGTATTTTCTTTTAAGGTAATAAATCGTTCATTTTTATTATCAATTGTTTCATTAATTTTATTTGTAAATAAATTATAATTAAGTTTATCATTTAACCAAGTTTTTTTTAATAAATTAATACGTGTTTGATGAAAATCAATAAAAGTTTTTATACCAATATATAAATCATCTAATTGAATATCTGTTCGTTGACATGAATAATCATATTGTCCATCGTACCATGTTAAACAATTCGATTTATATTGATTACAAAATAGATCAGATCGATCAAGTAATTTAATACTTGTTAATTCATCTATTAATTGATTTAATTCATATTTAACATCAATAATAAAATCAATTTTTTTTGTATATGATTCTAAACGATCAGTAAATAATGATAAAACATGTCGTGATATTAAAACACCAGACGATAAATCTGGATATGGATTATCTAATGAAAATGAATAATGATGAATTATACTTGGTTCTAAATCATATAAACCATGACCAATATAATAATCTTTGGATTTTTTAGCATATTTAATAAGTTCAGGTAGATTAATACGTGTTTGAGGTTCACATATAAAAAGCCATTTTAATTGAGGATATTGATGAATAATTGATGAAAATATTGGATAAATTGCATACCACTTTGATATTGTTGATATATATGAATGTGTATAAAGAAGTGGAATATGTGCTGGAATAAATGTTGATGCATTATGCACTTGACTTAGAATATATATATGAGGTTGACTATTTATAAGAATAATAAATTCATTAGTGATTTGATTAGTTAAAGAAGAAGAAGAAAAAAGAGAACAAATTACAAATAAGAAAAGAATACATAAATATTTCATAATATTTATCTAAAACATAAAGAACAAGGCGCCTATTGATTTGCAATTAATTGTTCACATTACATCATCAAATAATGTCCAAAAGTATTTATGATCGACAATTAGATACGGATTTATTTAAGCGTTTACATCCAACGAATTTTACTCTTGCACCAAAACATTATATTAATATTTTAGGACCAGGTTCATATAATCCAATAACTATTGATGAAATTTATCGTAAAAAATCATGTAGTAAATATGGACGTTACTATCAACAATCAAAACGATTTCCATCAATAAATCGTAAATCGAAACATTTATGTCATACGCAAGTATAAAGATTCATTTTTTATTAAAATCATTGTAGATTATTATAAAACTTAGACTTTAATATATGGTTTAAATAATATTCCTAATGAATTAAGAAGAAAAAATGAATTTGAAAGACGTTATAATGCTATACGACTTGATCGACAGAGTAATGATATATGTCGTAAACGAAGAGCGCTTGTATCTCGTGCTCCACCTGTTACTTTATATGAAAAATCAAGTTTTGTTGATGAACTTCAATCTAAACAAACAGGAAAGTACTAATAGGTATATCGTCAAATCGAACACAATTTATCGTTCTTTTAGATAAGAAGATTTAAAGTGTAATGATCTATATAAAAACTAATAGGAGATATTGTACAACCATTAACTAATATCAAAAAAGAAGATAGTTCTATCGTTTGCTTTAGCAAATATAATAGAAACTGATGAACATATACTTCATTTAAACTATTAACTATAGTAATCTGAAATCATTTGATAACTAAGTTTGATTATATCATTGAAAAATCTCATAGGAGATATGTAATATGATGTGGAATATTTTTACAAGATAAGAGTTCTTCAGTAGCTACATTTTACAAGGTCAAAATTCTCTGTTTCTTTTTACATTACATTGGAAAGTTTATCCTTAGAGATTATTTATTAATAAAAATATTCTTTTTCAGGAATCTATGGACCTTATGTTAAACTAGCACAAGATCATCATAGTAAAATTCCAGATTGGTACAAAGGACCAGCTCGTCTTCAAATCAAATCACCTCCATCTATTCTTGAATCTCTTTTTTCGAAATCTAATTGTTATAAAGGCAAATTTTTACCAATGCCTTCTAATGTCAATACAAATGAAAAACAAATAAAACCTTCACCCGGACCAACGACTTATTTTCAAGATCTATTTGCTCAACGAAAACCTTCTCAAACAAATCATGAAAAGATCCCATTATTTGGTTTTCTTTCATCAACGGAACGATTTTCTAAAACAAAAATTTCAATCTCACATCTAGGTCCAGCTTCATATAAACCTGATACTTGTATTCAATTATGTTCAAAAAAAAGAACAAACAAAGAAATAAATAGAAAGTTTTAATTTTACTTGCTTACTCATATTGTATATAGATTCAAAAAAAAAAAGAAAAAAAAGTAAAATGATTGTCAAAAGACATAAAATAAATAGAAAAAAGAAGAAAAAAAAAAAAAAAAGAGTAAATCTAATGTACACTTGTTTTGCTTGCATTCGAATATGTTTCTTCAAATTTTGTTGGTAGGAACCAATTTTCGACTAGAATATGTGAATCATCATACATAATCTTTGTATTTAATAATTTTCCATCACATTTATTTAATAATAATTGTGCAAATTCATCTCGTGACATTATATTACGTTCCGTAGGTATATAAAAATAATCATCACAATAACTAACAGTTAAATTCATTTTTTTAGCCTGTTTAGCAAGTACGAAACGTTGTAATTGATCGGATGGTTGACATGATATAAGTTTTTCATTAAAAGGAAAAGATAATTGACATAAAATATTCTTTGGATCATTAAATGACGAAATAATATTTAAAAATTTATTTCCAATAGATTGAATATGAAAAAAAGTAATTAATTTTAATGGACCAATTAATTTTAATATGGTTTTATTTTGATTTAAATTTGAAATTAAAGTAAATTGAAAACCTTGATAATATTCTTGATTTTTTTCATTTGTTTTATTTAAATGATTTTCAATTTCATTTATAAGTTGATCTAATTGATAGAATTTCGCTTCATATAAAAGTTGTTTTAATTCATTAAAATTTTCTGGTAAAATAAGTTTTTTCTCACGAAAATAATTTAATATATAAGAAAAATGTTTTCCATCGCGATCAATAAAATATTGACCACTATTATTTACTTGAATATTCGTCTGATTTTTTATAATTAAAGATAGATATGATTGAGAATCAACATTGTCATTGATTGTTGAACGTTTTGTTGAATAAATATGACCACCAATATTAAATGTGATAATATCATCATCATCATCATTATAATTTAAAAGATTTTTATTCGATGTTATAGATAAATATTGAGACGCTGTCATCCTACAAATATTAGCATATAAGAGTGAAGAAGAATAACAAGTAGTGTTCTGTTTTTTTTCTTTTTCTTCTTTTTTTTCCGCTGGCATTGCGAAAAGCTCGCTGGTAGCAATTAGAAAAAAAGCCTTTGTCTTTCTTCTTTTTTTTTCTTCTGCTCTCCTGAAAATCCGTCTATTCTTATTGATCATTAATTATCAGAATAGTAGAGCACAAAAAAAAAAGAAAAACAGCCAATATCAATCGAATTTCTGTTTTTTCAATGATATAAGAAGAAAAAAAATTGTTACATCATAAGATTGATAGAATAATTTAGAATATGTCGTTCGTTCGTTTGTTCGTTCGTTTCTTGTTGTTTCCTATTTCCTTATTGATGTCAATGATCAAATGATAAAATATAGTTTAGAAACATTCGATACAAATAAGACGAGGCATAACTTGCATAATCTTTCAATCGACAACGACTTGATCAAATTACGAGAAAGACAAGTGAATCGTAAATGATGTTCAACTGTATAAATACTTTGATTGACTTTTTTTACTCGATTCTCTTTCGATCAACATATTCTTGACAAAGCCTGGCGATTGTCAAAATACAAAGAAAAAGAAAAGTATCTTATACATACAAAACTATTCATCCGACATCAACAAAAGTTTATTAGTTAGTTTCATGTAAAGTTCAAATGCAAGCGAACGAATAACCTTGAAATTATTGTTACTGTCTTACTACTGTCGCTACTTCTGAATAATATAAACACAAGGTCGTGTTATACATGCTCATCGTCGTATGGAAAAGAAAAGGAAATAGCAAGAGTTTTCTTGATATTCTGAGAATATGAGACGCGACAAATGGAATTAACAGATGGTGAAACAGGAGATAGATAATCAATGAAAAACTTCTGAGTGTCGTCTAACAAGGACATGAACAATTACAGAAAAGAGATGTCCTTAATGGAAGTGATGTCGTAATCGAAGACAATTTATTATTGTTTCACTATTCTATATTTTGGATATATTGTCAAAGTAAATATCAGAAACATCTTTATCAAACAAGATACATACATATATATATAATTTCATACTCATCTTACTTGCGTTTTTTTCTCAGTATAATAAATTTAACTCAATCAATGATTGACGTTTCATTTTATATTCTAATAAATTCTATCTAATGTATTATATAGCATTTCGGTTTTTTTTTGTTTGTCATTGATGTCGCCAATAATTATATCTTTCGTTATATATATCTAATAGAGGTCAAGGTATCGTAATCTTCATCAGTCTATACATCCTTGTACAACATCATCATCAAGGTACAATATTACACACATCATCAATATGCGAAAGTATACATTTTTTTAATGACAATCAGCAATAAAACAAACAAGGACACATAAATATATATTTAAAACTAATAGAAAAGGAAAAAAAAAGGAATTTATTTATCTCTATACAAAAATAACAATAAGAAACATATTTAATGAGTTCTTTTAATATATATATATTTGTGCTAATATATCATAGAATAATTATACATATATTTATATAATAAAACTCACTAGAGATAGATTGATCATTTTTAATGATTTGTTTTTTTTTTAATATTCTTCATCTAAAAGGTAAAACTTTGTTATATCAAATGATATTATATACAGGGTGTCCCAAAAAAAATGTATACAGTTTTGAAAATCAAAAGTTGTCCATTCGAACATTGAAATACGTCAAATACAATTTTCGTCGAACTTCTGACTACGTAGTATGAAAGACCTTTCTTCGCTCTATCACATCACGTATTAAATAGTTTGAATCAAATTACATAAACGAAGCTCGGTACCTGAATAGGCAATTTCTAATTGTCCAAAGTGTATACATTTTTCGGGACACCTTGTATATATATATATATTCAATCATATTGTACCTAGAATCTTAATTGTCCATTGAGGATATTTCTTTTTGAGGATTTCTACTGTTTTTACATGATCAGCTTGACCAAATTCCTAATGAAAAAATAAAAATTATTGAATAAAAATTTTTCTTAATTAAATAACTAACTGGTGAATAACCATAAACTGAAATTGATCTTGTTCCAGGATCAACTTGTAAGCGACCACCACCTTTGCAATCTAACGTTAAACTATTTTCATCTATTTCACTTTGAATTTTTTGCAATACATCAGCTAAATAAATATATGCAATTAAAAATACATTTGGTTTTTTTTTTTTTGTATTCTTACCATGATCAACACTAGAAGCATCTCCACGAACAACAAGTTTTGATTGACCATAAGTTGTACCACGATCTCGAACTTCAATTAATAAATATTTACAGCAACCAGCTTCAACAATATCAATATCGGCAACATGAGAAATATTTTCAATTTTACCCATTGATGTATTTATCCAAAATGGATGAAGAATATATTTTTCTTGTAAACGTTTAGCATGTTGTAAAAGTTCAGTACTATTTCGACGTAAACTTAAATGTCGTGATGTTGACGCTGACATCGCACTGACTCTGTATATATATATATCAAAATTTTTCTTGGTTTTTTTTTTCTTTTAGTAATGTAAAAATGAAATTTCTTCTTATTTGTATATGTCTATCTGCTTTTGATAAAGCCTTTTTATAGCGCCAGATCAGAAAGGGTTTGAAGAAAAACGAAAAATTAATGACTCGTATTATCTAATCAGACGTCTACTAAAAACATGGGATAAAATGCACACACCTAATTTTTTTTGCGAACGAACCTCACTTCAAAAAAAAAAAGAAAAATATTGCCTATTTCGAATCAAGCAACAGAAAAATATGTGTAGTTAGAAAAAAAATTAATAGCCATAAAAAGTCTGATTGGGTATGTATAAACATACATATATATCAAAACTGCTCTACTATTAATAGCATATCAAGATGTATGTAGGTATACATCTTTGCAATAATTGACATCGTAAGTAATTTCATCGTATATTTTTCGTTTTCTACAAGCACGGTTATCTGATTTTGTTCGAATTTAATGGTTTGTTTCTGATGTATATATCAAACACTAATTGGAATAATTTTGAATAAATTGCTTATGATTATGGGTTTGTTTTTATTTTTCATATACGAAAAATAGCGCATGATAATTTACGTAAATTATCGAGTCATAAGTTGTGAAAGAGTATTGCACCTGCTTTTTTTTTTCAATCAATAAAAAGATATGATGACCCTTTTGACTGTTCGTAAACACTCTAGTATATCTAGTCAATGAAATAAAAGAAGGCAATGTATAACTTACCGGTTTTGTTTCAAATCTTAGTAGAGAATATAATATACTTTCAATTATTATAAAAAAGAATATATATATATATGCATTATCTAGAAGAATGTGCTGAAATATTTTCCACGTAACAATTAAGTCACATGATGATTTACCAGGGTTTATCGAGGGCAAAATTTTATAAATAACTTAATCTTTATAGGAATATGTACCTTTGTAATCAAGTGCATAGTCTTTCGAATTATTAATACAAGAAAATTGTCTCGTATTGTTAATAAAATCATTGTCATTTCATAAAATATTTAAAACATTTTTTTTTATTTATTGACACAAAATATAATTATCAAGGTCATATATATGTAATCTGAAAATGAATAGACAAAATTCTCTTTGTCCATTGAATTATCATTTTGAAATTCTTCATGTTTTTTTTTTCTTTTTATCAAAATAAGACAAAAGAAAAATATATCAAAACAAAACAACATATATATTATTACGTAAGTGCATCAACAAGTGAATCTTTAATTGTTTTATTAGTTGTTATACCAGTCGTATTATGTTGTCCTAATTTAAATACACTTTCAATAACACTTATTTCATGTGCTGTTGTTTCTAATCCACAAAATCCTATCCAATCATTTACTAAAAGTCCAGCAGCAATAACATCACTACCACGATTAATTGTTCCAGCAACAAGTGGTACTTGTAATAATGATGATAATTCTTCTTGTTCTTGTATAGATGTTTTAGGATGTACAATTCCACCTTGATTTGAAAATACAGAATAACTACCAACAAGAACACGATCAGCTATTGTTTGTCGAAAACATTCAACATTAAGTGTATCAGTTAATATTTGTTCAGTTTCTTTATCTAAATCAGGATGTATAAGTGCAACATAATCATTACATGCAATAACATTTCCTAATGCTGATAAACGTTCTTCACAACGTTTTAAACGAACATTATCTGGTAAAGAATTACGAATATGTTGTAATTCTTTATCAGTTGTAGATGATGGTACAAGAAGACCATGTCGATTACCAACAGTTAAACGACCAACAATACGACAATCACCTTAAAAAAAATGAAAAATTTTTGCTTTAATTTTTTATAAATTTATAATCAAATAATTATCATACCAATAGATGAATGAATAACTGGCATATGATCACTAAGTTCACTTTCAAATGTGGAATAAAAATTTTCTGATCCACCAATACCAACCAAACAATAAGCATTTGTTAATCGAGCAAAAACACCAATATCATTACTACTTTCAAATTGTGTACGTACCGCCATAATAATGAAGTTAATAATTTCAATCACTCACTAATCTAGAGAGAATGAAGCTAAATACAATATAAAAACGGCGTCATATATATATTGTATTCATAGAGAATTGCGCAAGAGTGACTCAAACTTCTCAATGGTAAGTGTAGAAAAGAAAAAACAAGAATGTTTTTCTCTTTTCTAGTTACATTAATCCTTTCTTTGTAACATGCAATTAAATTTATTAAAACAAAAATTAGATAGAAATAAAAAAAAAAACAAGAAAATTCTTCGAATTATTTTATATATATATATATATTTTTTTTTTCATTCATTTATCGTTTTGAATAATTATTTTTTTGTAGTTTGTCTTAATTTTCTTAAAGGTTCTTTAACAAATGCCCAATCAACTTGTAATATATTTCCAAGTAAATCTTGTCCATTTACATTATCTAAAGCATTTTTAGCTTCTTTAA